CCCCCCCCCCCGCCGTGTTCTTGACTGCTCTCATCCTACCCAGTTTAAAACAGCTCGGCAGCGGACGTGAATCTCATTCTTCCAAGTGCCAGGCTGAAGCCTCCTCCAGAGGCCTTTCCTTTCAGAAAGCAATCTCCAGTTTTTTAGTGAGTTCTTGCTAAGGTCAGCCTTGCTCTTCAGATTGTTCTCAAGCCCTGAAGAATCTAGGCTGACCTAAAATAAATTGTGAAAACAAATAATATTCGATGGTAGCAGGAAGTTCTGCTCACAGTGGGCACTCAACAGACATTCACTAACCAGTCATTTCTTTTGAAAGTTAAAAGCTTATCCACATGGGGATATATGTATATGTATAGCTGATTCACTTTGTTATAAAGCAGAAACTAACACACCATTGTAAAGCAATTATACTCCAATAAAGATGTTTAAAAAAATAATAAAAAATAAAAGTGGGCAAAAAAAAAAAGTTTATCCACAGATACAGTGAGACAGGTAATATGCAGTACTTCTAGGTGGACAGACTGGTTTAAACGTTCTAGAAAGCAATTTGGCAATAAACAATAAGAGCCATAAAAATGTTATCACCTGACTGGGAATTCTAGTCCTAGGAAACTACCCTAAGAAAGTGATCAGAATCGCTTCTCGGCCTTTTGGCTAAGATCAAGTGTAGAGGGCTTCCCTGGTGGCGCAGTGCTTAAGAGTCCGCCTGCCGATGCAGGAGACGCGGGTTCGTGCCCCGTTTCGGGAAGATCCCACATGCCGCGGAGCGGCTGGGCCCGTGAGCCATGGCCACTGAGCCTGCGCGTCCGGAGCCTGTGCTCCGCAAATGGGAGAGGCCACAACAGTGAGAGGCCCGCATAACGCAAGAAAAAAAAAAAAAAAAAAAAGATCAAGTGTAGAAAGTGATCAGAAATCCAAAGATTTGTACACAAAGATAATGAAAATAATATTATTTATAAGAACAGACACTAATAAGTGTTGGAGAAATTAATAAATACTAGTTGTACAATGAAACAGCACTGACATGTTATCAGGGTTTTCTTCTGGGTAGAAATATGGATGGCTTTTATACATCTCCAATTTTGCACAAAGAGCAAACATTGCTTTCATAACAGATATGTATTTTGATGTTTTTTTAAAAGACTACATTCATGGTATTAGAACTGTATTTCTTTAAATGCCCACTATGATCTGTCTGTAACTATCTAATATAACATTGTGATGGCATTAGTAAGTTTGGAAAGAGTCAATAAAATTTTATTGTTGGTAGGGCTTTTAAAATTTATTGGTAAGGTGTCCTAAATCTGCTTCATTGCATAGTTTCAAAGTATCTTCTCTAAGAGACTTATTGATTACAAAGGGAAAAATAGCAACTTTACACTGGAGAAACCACCTTAACCAAATGATGGTTCATATCACCAGTAATAAGATTGTGTGCCCCCTGTATGATATATGATAATGAATGAATGAATGTCTATAGATTATTCTGTCATCCCTCTCTCAATTTGAGTTTCCACAACTGTAAAGTGAAATTTAGAAAGACTGGTGACTTGCCTGAGTTTTCACAGCTGATTTGTGGCCAGAACCCATGAATCCAGATTCCTGACTAGATGCTATCTTTACTACATCATTGATAAAATATATACCTTATACACTTACACACACCTGTGTAGTTTAATACACTCCAATAAGAAGGCAATGGCTATGAGCTGGCTTGGATTGCTGAGTGTAAGAGGGATGACCTGGATGAGAAAGAAAAGGTAGGTGAGTGAAAAAGAGATAAGTGAAATATGAGCAACAAAGTTACTAAGAGATTCTTGTTAACTTGCCTGAAGTCCTTTTCCTTATTGTTACTAAGTTCTATTTTTTCTCTTTCCAGCTATTTTAGAATTAATATAAATTCCATTTTCTCCTTATTCAGTAACGCCTGATTTCTTTTATTATTTTTCTTTCTAGAAACCTTGTAAAAACCTTGTGGGAAAAATATCATTCCTTTCTTACCTGAAGGTCCTGTTTTGTCTCCCCTTGTAAGAAGAGAGAGAACTTATGTCTATATTAGAGAATACCTGATAGTTGTTATCTCTCAAATTTTGATCAAGGTATCACTCAATGTTAAACTCAATAAAAATACTTTACTAGGGGCTTCCGTGGTGGCGCAGTGGTTGAGAGTCCGCCTGCTGATGCAGGGGATGCAGGTTCGTGCCCCAGTCCGGGAGGATCCCACATGCCGCGGAGCGGCTGGGCCCGTGAGCCATGGCCGCTGGGCCTGCGCGTCCAGAGCCTGTCCTCCGCAACAGGAGAGGCCACAACAGTGAGAGGCCTGCATACCGCAAAAAAAAGAAAAAAAAAGAAAAAAAAAACCTTTACTAAAATATATATAAGGCTTTCTCCTTTTCAGAGTACATTATAATTTTATTTCATTTAACTGTATTTTATAAAGGAATAAACTAAATCTCAAAAAAAAATCACCCTACTTTGTAGTTTTAGGGCCAGATCTAAAAATCTCTATCTTCTGATGGAAAATTCAGTGTTCCTTCCACTATGGTATGTTCTAATTACTCACTGTTAAGTCTATTATTCATACTTGTGTTTTTTAATTGTTATTAATAGAGAGAAGAAAAAGCAAGAAGAAAATTCTCCAAAAAATCCGGAGAAAGGCATGTTTCAAAATGTTCATATTCTTCTGGATGAAAAAAAAATGGCAAAAGAAAGAAAGAAGAAACTGAAAGAGTTATTAATCCAAACTTTCAAGGAAAATCACCAGGTAGGAATTGTAATGTCTCTTTGTTCAGCATTCTGTAGCATAAATGACAGAGGGCTCCGTCAGAGATGGACAGTGTAACACTAAGCCCAATTGAGCCTCGTTACGAATACCAAAGTTGCCTACACCATTTGTTCTGTGCTACCCAGCTGGCTTAGTACACAGGGGAGTGCTTCAATCCTCTATTCAGGGCTATTCTTATATACTCCATGTGATCCTGGGAAATTGGGGTATGAATTTGGGATGTCTTCCTAAATTACCCTTTTTAGAATTGCATGCAAGTACTAATGTAGATCTCTGGCAGTTTGAAAGCATAGCTTCCACTTTGACAGTCTTATGGTCCATTGTGTTCTGGATTATTCAGAAGAATTATTCAGAAAGTTACTTGCCTTTTGGTAGCTCAGATCCTAAACAATGACATGTTTGTGCTTCTACTTTTAATGGTCTGCATTTTATTTTACTCTTCTATCCCTTTCTTTAGTTTCACTTTTTGTAAAATTAACTGGCCAATTTTTTTATTGACTAATGAGCATCCTCCCCAGGCTACTTAGGCAGAAATTTTTTTCAGTGAAGTGGGATTGATAACACTATAAATTTGGGGTTTATAAACATTTCAGGTGAAAGGAATTACTTGGAAGATTTGTAAATGAGGTGGTCAAATGAGAAAAGGTAAATATGTATATTTTATATCTCTTACAACATCCACTCCAAGGCCTTGGGCATTGATGAAATTCAGTGAAAGTTAATGGAATGAATGTATAAATGAATGGATTTAACAAGAGAAAAGAATGTCAGGAAGAGATTGAGGGAGTTTGATAAATGTAGGATAGACTAAAAGGGACCTAGAAATCAAAAACAGGCCTGTGAATATGATATGGATGACTAAGATATGAGGAAAAAAGTAAAGTAGTCAAAGCAATTCTTTAAAACTAGACACGTTTGATGGTAGCATTTTGGACTGATAGGCAAAAAGTCATAATTATTCAAATATATTCGAACAACGAGTTTGGTCAGAGTTTTGGCTTTAGGAATAGGCAGAGGCAAGTGTGATAGGAGGAACTATTAAGAGTTGGGACTAACATTTTGGGAAAGATGGGCAAAGGCTTTTGGATGCTGTGTCCCCTCCATGAGACGGATGGAGTTAATGTGTCCTCCTACAGTAACAGTTCAGATTTATGAAAGAAAATAGGAAAGGAAATGAGTACAGAGGGGGCCATCTTGAGAAGACATAAGGAAAAAGGGCCATGATATGTTTGTTCCCCAACCAATGAGAGATGGATAAAATGTGTGTTCCCTATAAAATTAAGTTTTTAATTTTATTGAAGTCCACTGTGCAAGAAGAAGTAATACAGTCGTCCCTTGGTATCCAAGGGGGATTGATTCCAGGATCCCCTGCAAATACCAAAATCTGTGGATGCTCAAATCCCTTATATAAAATAGCATAGCATTTGCATATAACCTATTCACATACTCCCATATACTTTTTTTTTTTTTTTTGCGGTACGCGGGCCTCTCACTGTTGTGGCCTCTCCCGCTGCGGAGCACAGGCTCCGGACGTGCAGGCCCAGCGGCCATGGCTCACGGGCCCAGCCGCTCCGCGGCATGCGGGATCCTCCCAGACCGGGGCACGAACCCGCGTCCCCTGCATCGGCAGGCGGACTCTCAACCTCTGCGCCACCAGGGAGGCCCTCCCATATACTTTAAATCATCTCTAGATTACTTATAACACCTATGTAAAAAATTAATAAATAGAAACCTGAATTAAGTAGAGTCAAAAGACCAGAAGGGGGAGCTCTCATGCCCTGTGACAATAGCAGAGCCCAAAAGGAAGAAGAAAAACTCTTATTTCCTGGCACGAACTCAGCCAATGAAAAGCCATGGACTCTGCCTACTACAGCCCTCCCAACTTACTTTTCCCTCTATAAGAGTTCTCCTTCCCTTGCCCTGAAAGAACTTGCACATGGATTACCAAGGTTGGAGATCCCAAATTGCAATTCTTTGCTGATTCCAAATAAATCCATCTTTGCTGGAGTAAACCCTAGCAGTCTATTTGTTCCAGGTCAACACCTAATACAGCGTAAATGCTATGTAAATAGATGTAAATACAATGTAAATGCTATGTAAATAGTTGCCAACCCGACAAATCAAGTTTTGCATGTTGGAACTTTCTGGAAATTTTTTTTTTCCGAATGTTTTCTATCCATGGTTGGCTGAATCCACAGATGTAGAGCTTGCAGATACAGAGGGCTGACTATATATGTTTTAGAAAGAAGTGCTAGGTATGAATTTCAGACACACAAAAAGAGTTTTACAAAATTAGTGGCTTACCAAAACAGATTACTCAGCTTTAAAAGGATCAGCTGGTATATTTAAAAATGAGCCAATATGAATAAATTATCTCTACTTTGCCACAGATTCTGCTTGGTTTGAACCTATATTTTTGAATCTTTATTTTGAAATAATTTTAGACATACAGAAAAATTGCAAAAAATAGTACATGGAGTTCCTGAATACCCTTCACCCAGCTCTCCTCAATGTTAACATCTTACATAACCATAGTTTAATTATCAAAACTAGGAAATTAACATTGGTAAAATACCAGTAAGTACAATTAACAAGACTTATTAGAGTGTCACCTATTTTTCCTCTAAGGTCTTTTTTCTGTTTCAGGACTTGATCTGTAATTTCATGCTGCATTTGCTTGTTGTGTCTCCTTAGTCTCCTTCAGTTTGTAATAATTCCTCAATCTTCGCTTTTCTTTTATGACCTTGACAGTTTTGAAGAGTACTGGTCAGGTATTTTGTAGAATGTCTCTCAATTTGGGGTTTTCCAATGTTCTCTTCTGTTTAGATTGAGATTATGCATTACTGGTAAGAATACTACAAGAAGTGATGCTGTGCCCTTGACACTATAATATCAGGTATACTTAATGGTTTCTTCTGTTGTTTTTTCTTTTTAAATTTTTGAATTTTATTTTATTTATTTTTTATACAGCAGGTTCTTATTAGTTATCCATTTTATACATATGAGTGTATACATGTCAATCCCAATCTCCCAATTCATCACACCCCCCCACCCCCCACCGTTTTCCCCCCTTGGTGTCCATACGTTTGTTTTCTACATCTGTGCCTCAATTTCTGCCCTGCAAACCGGTTCACCTGTACCATTTTTCTAGGTTCCACATATATGTGTTAATATACGATATTTGTTTTTCTCTTTTTGGCTTACTTCACTCTGTACAACAGTTTCTAGATCCATCCACGTCTCTACAAATGACCCAATTTCGTTCATTTTTATGGCTGAGTAATATTCCATTGTATATACGTACCACATCTTCTTTATCCATTCGTCTGTCAATGGGCATTTAGGTTGCTTCCATGACCTGGCTATTGTAAATAGTGCTGCAGTGAACATTGGGGTGCATGTGTCTTTTTGAATTATGGTTTTCTCTGGGTATATTCCCAGTAGTGGGATTGCTGGGTCATATGGTAATTCTATTTTTAGTTTTTCAAAGAACCTCCATAGTGTTCTCCATAGTGGCTGCATCAATTTACATTTCCACAAACAGTGCAAGAGGGTTCCCTTTTCTCCACACCCTCTCCAGCATTTGTTGTTTGTAGATTTTCTGATGATGCCCATTCTAACTGGTGTGAGGTGATACCTCATTGTAGTTTTGATTTGCATTTCTCTAATAATTAGTGATGTTGAGCAGCTTTTCATGTGCTTCCTGGCATTCTGTATGTCTTCTTTGGAGAAATGCCTATTTAGGTCTGCCCATTTTTGGATTGGGTAGTTTGTTTCTTTAATATTGAGCTGCATGAACTGTTTATATATCTTGGAGATTAATCCTTTGTCCGTTGATTCGTTTGCAAATATTTTCTCCCATTCTGAGGGTTGTCTTTTCGTCTTGTTTCCTTTGCTTTGCAAAAGCTTTTAAGTTTCATTAGGTCCCATTTGTTTATTTTTCTTTTTACTTCCATTACTCTAGGAGGTGGATCAAAAAAGATCTTGCTGTGATTTATGTCAAAGAATGTTCTTCCTGTGTTTTCCTCCAAGAGTTTTATAGTGTCTGGTCTTAAATTGAGGTCTCTAATCCACTTTGAGTTTATTTTTGTGTATGGTGTTAGGGAGTGTTCTAATTTCATTCTTTTACATGTAGCTGTCCAGTTTTCCCAGCGCCATTTATTGAAGACACTGTCTTTTCTCCATTGTATATCCTTGCCTCCTTTGTCATAGATTAGTTGACCATAGATGCGTGGGTTTATCTCTGGGCTTTCTATCCTGTTCCATTGATCTATATTTCTGTTTTTGTGCAAGTACCATATTGTCTTGATTACTGTAGCTTTGTAGTACAGTCTGAAGTCAGGGAGTCTGATTCCTCCAGCTCGGTTTTTTTCCCTCAAGACTGCTTTGGCTATTCGGGGTCTTTTGTGTCTCCATACAAATTTTAAGACTTTTTGTTCTAGTTCTGTAAAAAATGCCATTGGTAATTTGATAGGGATTGCCTTGAATCTATAGATTGCTTTGGGTAGTATAGTCATCTTCACAATATTGATTCTTCCAAGCACAAGGTATATCTCTCCATCTGTTGGTATCATCTTTAATTTCTTTCATCAGTGTCTTATAGTTTTCTGCATACAGGTCTTTTGTCTCCCTAGGTAGGTTTATTCCTAGGTATTTTATTCTTTTTGTTGTAGTGGTAAATGGGAGTGTTTCCTTAATTTCTCTTTCAGATTTTTCATCATTAGTGTATAGGAATGTAAGAGATTTCTGTTCATTAATTGTGTATCCTGCAACTTTACCAAATTCATTGATTAGCTCTAGTAGTTTTCTGGTAGCATCTTTAGGATTCTCTATGTATAGTATCATGTCATCTGCAAACAGTGACAGTTTTTCTTCTTCTTTTCCAATTTGGATTCCTTTTATTTCTTTTCCTTCTCTGATTGCCGTGGCTAGGACTTCCAAAACTATGTTGAATAAGAGTGGTGAGAGTGGACATCCTT